AGTTCCGCGATCAGTTCACGTCCGAACCTTTTGCTGAACACGATTTAACGATTAACGTGGAACAGGATTTCACTTTTCTATTCTGGAACTCAAGCGAGCAAGTTTGTTCCGAGAAAATCGAGTATACTTTTTGACTTGCCCCGTGCAACGTGCGCACTACTAACACTTTCTAGTTTGTGTACTATCACCAGTGATTAGAACTCCGAAAGTGTTTGCCCCAATGGATGGGTAGAGCTTGAGGTAGGTGGGGCATGGGGGGCGGGCCAAGCCACAGAGTTATGTAGTACTTGAACAATTGCCCCGAAAAACGACGGAACATAAGATGTTGCCATCAGAAATCGCTGAAAACGAACAATGAACAACGCGAGTACACCCTTATAAGACTTTGACCTTGGGATACAAAATGGTAATGCAGTGCCGTATAAAGTAAGGCAGCAGGAATAATTCAGATAAAATAAAGGGTAAATTCCTCGTCAATCCCCTTGTGGGATCTACTTCCATTCAAAATCGTAGTGGCTTATTGAATGCGATGTGGCACACACAACTTCTTGGGGGAATCAGGGGAATCAGCTCAGACCAGTGCAATCTGGAGAGTAGAAGGTTTGGATGGTGTGGGCGGGCTCCGATCCCCCTGAACTTGATCTGCGGACCGTGCGCGTGGTAACGTGCCACTTGCCACCACATTACCCATAATGCAGGTAATCTTGCAAATTTCAACCATTCACGAGTTGAAATTCATGAATGAAACAGAACTGGAACTGGATCGCATTTGCAATGATAAAATATGGAAGAGGTTCGGTGGAGGTCGGGAGAGGTCTTGTGAGCGACGTCCGCTAATCTTGCCCTCGATGGTATGGCCCTGTGCTTCGCGCAAATGCTGACACTGACTGTAAGACTGGTCTTCTGATCTTCGAAGCGAAAGCGACCGAAGAGGAAAATGACCAGTCATGTGTACTGCTGTACAGCACGATCACTGCAAACGATAAGACGACGTCGAATGAAACGCAACCAGAGCGCCCTTTCTCCACCAATGATGTCGTTCTGAGCCAACCACAGGAAAATCCGATCTGGCTGCACTCCAAACCACGCTCCCGTCACACGCCCTATCATTGTAGAAGCTATGACTGTACCTATGTTGTACAGTGTTCAAGTACTATGAGGTTCCGGGATCACAGCACAGTATTGAGACATCTTTAACAGCCACCAGTAAATTTAATTCAAGGCAACTAGTAAAGAATTACTCACCGGGATACACATTTTGTGCTCGTAGTACTCTGGATCTAGCGAAGACGGTTGGTTCGGAGGATTACGCTTCTTACAGAACAGGATCCCTCCATCGAACAGGAAAAGATGCCTGCAAAGGATTTTTGTAGATGGACGACAAAGATAATATTCACTCTGGAAAGTGAGGAGAAACGGGCGAATTCTTTGTGAACAAACAATCGGGTGAAGAGGTCTTGGTGTAGCGTCGGAGAGGCTAAAAGAGTAACCAGTGAAGAAAAAAAAATTGGCAAGCCCGTCGAAGACAGCCCAAATAAGGCCCCATCGCAGAAAGACAGTCGAAGAAGCGAGGCGCTGTTTAGCGAGAGAGATAGAGACAGAGAGAGAAGAGAGACAGAGAGAGAGACGAGAAACAGATGATAGAAGGGAAAGATGATGGAGAAAGAGAGATTCTGCACAGAAATGAACGCATCTTGTTCCTTTATGAGCATAGCATATAGATCGCTGACAAGTGAGGTGGAGCAACTTCTACCGCTGGTTAGTGACGGGCGCATTTTTACTCACATTCTAGCAGCGAAATTGGCTTCACACATATTGTGATAGTCAAATAGGCGGAGACAACAATCACTTAGTCCCCCGCACTAGTGTTCCAAAACGTCTTGCTGAGCCGACGAAGGTGGATGTTTGAATGAAGCGGTGGTCCGACTCCTCCTATTCAATCAGCGCGGAACGTGCTTTCGATCTCAAAGAATGGGCTTTTTCCAATTTCTTCTGGCATAATTCGCAATACACTCGCTTCGGAAAATTAAATGAAAAGTTCTCAAATTCTACTCAGATACTACAGACAGAAGAGTAAATTCCCCTGTTTGTGAGCACTTACCGTCGTTGGGCACGAGCTGTTTTTCCCTTCTTCTTACGACTAAACTGGTAAGACGTCACATTCAGATTGTAGTCGAAGTGGGCCCAGTAAGCGCAGGTCACCCTGTAATGCGTTCGGTACAAGTATTAGGAGTCCACCAGTTCAAGAAGTAACAACACAGTAATAGTTTTAAATATCAGGCTGAGAATTAAATAAGGAAACTCACGTTGAATGCCGGAAATATTGCAAACTGATATGTATTGGCAGCGTTGATCTGTGCGAGAAGAATTTCCAGCATCGTTGACAATGCAGCCGCTACTTCAGGCCGTACCTGCAACCAAATTCAAATTATATTGAGGGGCTTTAAAAGGGTCACATGAGACAAATCGATAATCGATCTCAGAAGTCCTCTAAGCGAACCTCGGGCCGACAATGCCGTTCCAGCTCTCGCAACAATAGCTGATACTTGGTGATCCTTTGAACTGGCTTCAACAGATAAGCTCCCAATGGCAAGGGATGACCTGCACGCCGTTGGCAATCCTGAAACAATTTCAAGAAATAGTAGAGAAATAGAAACAGAAGAGCAAAAAATGATTAGGAAGTAAAGATAGGACCATACCGCAAAGAATGATGACATCTCGCAGAACTCCTTGCGTATGGCATCACTGGCGGCCTTGTTTTGACAATAGGCATGATACAATGAGAGAAATCTGAAACGATTTATTATGCCACTAACTTGCACATTTAGCCCAAGTCCTCTGACTTGTAGTACCACTCATTTCTCAACTTCAAGAGCAATACTGAAGGACTTAATCGAGTTCGTAGTCCAGACTGGGCTACGAGCATGACCAAGACCAGGTTCATCGGCAACATACCCACAGTACGCGGGTGCACCATCGGAATGTCTAATTTGGTGTTGGTGCGACCCCTAAGGACTCGGCAAGACCTTCCTAAACTCAACCCAAATTCGCCTCCTACCTGAAATTTAATAAGTTTCGCTGTCGAGGGAGTGTGTCGGTGGTGTGAGATGCAATAGAGCGCCCGCAAAGAAAAAAAATCGTCAATAAAACTTTCGTCTTCCGCCTAATGCGACCCCCCCCCCCCCCTGATGGGATTCGCCCAACGACCGAAATAGGATAGGAAAAGAAACTTTGGATCGTTCTTACCCTCTCGACAGGGTCAAAGACCTTTTCCCCCCACAGATCCTCGTGCTGCGGGACTCCCTGTGCAGGGTGCGCCCTTAGGGCGATTATTTCATAATAGTGTAAAGGACAGCGTCTAAAAAAGATTGTCCTGCATCCAGTAGCCATTTCTTAGAAATCCTAGAAAACTCACCTGTTCGCATGCTGAATGAACACACGACAAATTCCAGCAGACGAATTTTCATTAGCTATCAATTCCGGTAGAAGAAATCGTGAATGGAAATGGAGAAGTTCGCGGAGGTTACCTGAAACAGGTAATCTGTTAGAATAACTCCGATAAGACGAGCGCAACAGATGCCCGAAGATCTGGAAGATGGCTCTCAAACTAAATTTCTATTTTACTATTTGTGAATTTTGTGAAGGTGCCGTCATGATCCCTGCAAATGATAGGGCATGCAGCCATGTGGCATTTCTGACCAATCATGGTGCGCTGAAGACGACACCACTATTGAAACAGCGCCGCCCTGGCTGCGCTCCAAGCCGCGCCTCGTCACACGCGCTACGTTTGCAGACATTATGTCTTACACATCGACAGCACCTTCTAGAAATGGAAGTATAACTGATACCTCTTCGAATTAAGGTAATGAATTAATTACTAACGTAAGACCAGTCACTTCGACCACGTCGGTAACCAACGCTCTATGTTGAAGATTCAAGGTGAATGGAATGGCATAGTAATAATGCTCGACAAGTGATTCCAATTCAGCAACATATGTTCGTTCAGTGCTCAGCTGAATGGAATCCAATTACTCGTGGTACATAGTTACATGGTAACTTGTTTCCTTCTGCTGGGATATCCCTATCACTTCAGGGGAGAGCCGTACGTACTGCAACTTCTCGATGATTTTAAGAAAATTACATTTGTTCTCTACGGATATTGGCTCAGGTAGTCAGGGTTTGGCGCGGCGCCAACCCGTTCTCCAACAACTGTCAAAGCGACAGAAGCTGATGGAAAACAAGCCGGCGCAGCGCCAAACCCAGGTTTCCCTGACATCAGCATCCCCAGCGAACAACCTCTGTACTCACTCTTTCTCGCTTCCTCTAAGTGCTCGCATTATACCGCCATCTCAGCGAAACCAGCGCGATGTTAGTTCATTCAGTACCTGGCACGTCACTATTCTTTCTCTCAGTACTGCCCTCTACTATACGTACACAATTTTCCGCTTTTCCTCGTACTGATGACACACCGCTTACTTCTGAGCAGTCTTTCATTTCTCCATAAAAAATGCAAGCTGCTTAGAGTCCGGGGGCCGGTTCTGTATGACTGCTTTTAGGGAATCTATCTAGTCTTCGGTCCTTCTACTTTTGTATACGTTCCATGCCCCATGTGCACTAATTTTCGATCTCTCTTCATCTGCCTCAGCATCCCTCCTTGACGGACTCTTTACTTGTAGGCAGAATCTGCCGCAGACAGGTTTTCAAAATGTGTTGATTGGCTTTGCCAATCATAAAAAAAAACGAGGAAATAGTTGAAGCGGCCAGCCTCGCGAAGGTAGTTAGTGCGTCAGCGAATTGTCCAAGCAAGGGGCTAAGAGCCCATGAGAGTTTTGGGCGCGATCATACAAGACCATAAAGAGAGCATAAGCGAGCAAAAAAAAACAGATACGACAACTTGCAACACGGGTGGAGTCACTTGAGCACGCTTGCGCCCTAACACCCCCACCTCACAACTTTACGACTCAAAACTCGACACAAAATTAAAGGCACGTGCGAAGAGGAAAACGATCTACCCCTCTTGATATAGACCCCTCAATATTGACTTCGTTCTAGACTTTTTTATATCCTATACCTTACCCCTCGTCTTTTCGTTTAACTTCATACTTTTGCACGATGTTGTCCACTATGGTGCGCAGTACCTTGAGAGTTCCGGATTCCTTCTACGAGTAAATCGGGCGGAACGAGGTGCCTTCAATTGGCAACAGACTATGAAAAGTTTCAAAGTTACTACCTCGACCTAGCACAGTATAGGTGCAAAAACCTTTTGCACTATGCAGTTCGAGTACTTTAATCAGAAGCATTAAGTCAATGCTCGACCTACCCCAAATGACCACTTTTTTTAATTTTTTTTATTTGGAACAGTCTTTTATTTTTCACTAAATCAATTTTTTTTGTCAAATATAATCCTGATTTTTGATGGTGGCTTATTCCCAATCGTACCCCTCGCACGACCGAAGCCGAGCTGACCGCTAGCATAGCGGCTATTATAGAAACCAGTTTCTCACTACTCAAAACTTCCGTTTAGCAACTGCCATTCAACTGAAGTAAAAAAAACCCAGTCATGATGAGCCCCTGAAGTTGGGTCACTATCCTCGGCTTCTCCCCGTTCCATCCCTCAAGTGGATCAGTTCCGTTCTCTGTTGATTTACTCAATCGGCTATCGACCACGTTAATCTCTGCATGGCTGAATCTATTCAGCGGCCAAAGCTCAATTGAACGTTAGCAAAGCGGCTATTATGAAAGGCGGTTTTCACAGCCGGAACCCCCAACCTAGAAGCGTAAACATCCTGAAATGACCATGGCGAGGGTGCTATCAGAGCGCTCCGAGGAATACGCCACATATTCGCGGGTTAACGTTCCACCTCATTTGCATATGAATCCAGATTTCTCCTTCATGGCCAGTCCTGCCGTACAAGGTCTGCTTGAACAAGCAGTCGTAAAATCAGGCGTGTTACGACAACGCCATTCTCTACAATGACGGATTTAGCTGTTTCAGCGCTCCAAGTAGCACCCTTCCTCAAGGGCAACGAACTGATCCCATATTGGATCTGGAAAAGCTACCCATATATCTTAAAGCTGTTTTATTGATTGCTGTTTAACGCTGTAGTAGGCGCTTCGAAAGTTATATACCATATATAGTTACCAAATAGTTAACCTATCCCAATTTCTTCGAAAATGGATACATCCTGTAGGAAATGCAGTGAAACGAAGGGGGATAACCTAAAGAGCTTGGCAAAATGAACGCAACGTCCAGGATCGAGTTCAGTTTAATATGCACAGGTCCGGTCTCATTCTGCGAACTTACGACCAATTACGACCAAGCATCGCTCAAAAACTTAAGAAAATTTGCTTTCTAGGGACCATATATCCTGCTCTCCTCCTTACTAGGAGATTGCAGAGGTTTATGATAGGAGATGAACTAGTAATTACAATATTCTCCCACAACAACTCGCTGTACACCCACTAAATGCACTGTGCTACCTCGTTAGCCACCTTACTCTTTCTTTCTAATTAAAAGCACAGAAAGCCAAACACTGGGAAAGGAATAAACCCTAAGTTGCAGGTCGACTGAGAAAACTCACATGGGGAGGTGGGACCACCACAAAGTAGCGTATATTCCATTCAGTTCCAGTCAGTATTCAGTTAACCTGACATGGCATGCCCAGGTTGAATCTGTCAGGTCCAGGTGTGAATATCGCGCACGTCGCTTGAAGAGCATTACCGCAAGGTGGATCTCCTGACCGAAGTCGGTTCAACTCCTTGTGCGATTTGTAAGTGCTCTTCTTAACATGTTCCGGACTGCGTGACACACATGGTGGGTCACACATTTGGCTTGATGCGGCTTTTTATTCAATTATCTTGTCTTTTCTTTCGGGTTCTAATGTTGCCAAAAAACGTTTTCGGTTACGAGAGATACATGCCTCATGAGCGATTAGAAGAGGAGGAAATTGCTAAATCAAATTTGATGACATGACTTGGAAGCGTGCGCAGTACGACGGTCCACAATGTGTTGACTACTTAAAAGATTCTAGTGGATGGATTTTAAGAAAAAGCGGATTTCGCATATTAAAATGAAATAGTTCCAAAAAAGCAAATGTCAAAAGCTTTCATACAAGAAGATTTATGAATGTTCCCCATCCCTTGAATTGCAACCTTCAAACTGAAAACCAGATACTGTGGATTGGTCGTCAATTAACTTCTTCTCTATGCGTAAAGACAGCTGAGTGATTCAACAGCTGGTATCAAACGAATATTATAAAAACGATGATCGGATAAAACAGCTGTCAAACAAGCCACAACGCAAGCGCTGACATCGCAAACATAATTGAAACGACAGTACGTTTTCTCAAAAAACCGAACTGTATCGAATTATCCAGTTTAGGCGGTAGTCATGGACTTGAGTACGCTTCCCTACGCGGAAAGGAGAGGTGCGGGCTGTATTCGCTATGGGAAACGAAATCGGATCTCATGAAGCTGACCCATACAAAAAAAAGTTGTATGAGAAAAACATGGTAATTGCAATGTTCACCGTTGTCCTACACAAGCCTCAACACAGTCCTGAGGCATACCTTGAGTGCAAGCGGCACGTCGTACGCTGAGCATCGCCAGCCGCTGGGTTTGTATTTGTAGTGTGGGGGAGGGGGGAAAGGGTTCTTCTTGACAAGGGTGAGCGA